CCTTTCAGATCATAATAAATCAAGCCCATTCACATATATCTAATAGACTAATACTAAGTACATTGCCCTTCAGGTTATTTTTGTCTTAATCATAATGAAACATAATCTCTCCATCTCATAATGTAGTCACAAACCCTTTTTAAAACATCAGGTATATGATAAATAATATTATATATCCGCTGTAAAATTGCCCCCTAAAATAATCAAAAGGTATTTCAACGCAAATAAAAATTAGCCTAGTATAAATAAAATTGTCTATTTAATACAGATCACACCAACTTTTATATGTGATTTTACTGCTTTAGGGTTAGTTATTTCGTCAATGTTATAGGGGTTACTCGATCAAGGTTATTATAGGGGTTACTCACACAGTATAACAGGGGTTACTTTACCAGTATTATAGGAGTTATTTCGTCTGATAAATGTACAAGCGGCCACAAGGTGTGGTCGGTCAACCGCACACAAAACGGGTTGTAGAGACCAAATGATGCGAACCGTGTAGTTTTATTGGAGACCATATATAAAAAAAGCTCACATCATATCATAAAGTACAAAAACTTTAATGTACACACAATATACATTAATATTATTAGTGTACATCAAACATTTTAAGGAAAATTTTTGTTCATAACATGATAAGTTATATTTATTTTGAGGTAACTTTGGATCATTTTAGAACCTTACAAGTTACAACTGATGTGCTATATTTATTACAATTGATTTTTTACAAAAGTTTGTAATTATACTATAAGACATTTTACTTTTATCTCAATGCTATATCTTAGATTCTTAGATACTTAAATTTTCTTATAAATTTTTATCCATAACTAAATTTTTTAAAAACAAGATATAAAAAAAATAATAATAAAAAAAAAACACTTAAATATATGGATGTATAATCCATCATATTGCTGCCAAACGTGGATTTAATATTGAGATCCATGCTATGTATCAATATACCTATACTAAAGGCGGAATCAGAAATGACACTTGTCATAACCTGGTTAAAAGCTTTCCTTCAAAAAAGATGTTCTTTTTTTTTTTTTTTTCCAAAGCTTCTTTAGAAGTATTTAATTTAATACTTACTTTAGAACAATATTTCTTTTCTATTTGGCAAGTATATTCATTTTTACACAATCAACAAAGATTTATTTATTTATTTATTTTATGACGGGAACAAAGTCATATAATACAATAATGCAATTTTATCTATAACTTTGTAATGTAATCCATATTTATTTTCATTAGTCGTGTATGCATTTCATCCTCCGTTTTCTTTAATGATTTAAAAAAATCGTAATTACAGAGTTTTCATCCTATTTTGCAATTTGATATTATTTTTTACAGTAAAATAATTGTATTAAATTAATGATAAATATTGAAATTACCGTGCATGGCACGATAACTAACCTAGTATTTATATATGCACAAATGATTATAAAATGCATTATTTGAGAATAAAATTATATGCACATTTTATATACTATAATAAAACTATATGCATCTTTTATAAATTAAGTTATACTTATTATAATTGGAATTTTAGTATCATTGATGATAGTATTTTCTCTCCATCAAAAAAAAAAAAAAAGATGATAGTATTTTCCTCCCAATGTAAAACAAAGTTACAATCCATATCTCAACGTGGATTTTTTCATATTGAAATTAAGAAATTAAATTATATGCATCTTTGAGAATAAAGATTCATGAATCTTATATATTTATGAATGAATAATTGTATCCATTAATAATATGATATTGTTATCATAAAAAGAAAAAAAATACTAAAATGAATCCGTTTAATAAGAATGTACATGTTTATAATGAATTGCAGTATCATCATAATAATATATAGTTGATATATTTAGGGGTGGAAAATGAGCGGGAAAAGTTTTAATTATAGAGCCCATATGTCAAGTTGTAGCTTGAGTATCCTCTGTTTTAGTATAGATATAGATAGATCAGATTGGATTCCATTAGGATTTAATATATTTCTCTGTTAATTTTATCTTCTATCAATTTACATAAAAGATAAAAACTAAAAACTTTTGCATAACTTTATGGATTTGTAGAATTGATTTTTTTTTGTTTATTTTTTTGTGTATTTTTCCATAAAGAGTAGATTAAAAGTACGCCACCAATGAGCCGTAGCATATATGAACAACTATACCTATTTGATTATACGATTATGAGGCTGGTTTAAATTTATACCAAAATGAAGCTTCTTGTATACACTTCCAATACCCCAAACACACACGTGTCTCTTTTTGGAAGGCCACCAATCAAATCAGTCAGAAAAATTCTTTTAGGGGTCTAAGTTTTATAGGGGACTAAGTTTTTTTTTTTTTTTCCCTACCAACTTTCTAACTGACTAAGTTCTTAACTAAGGGACTAAGTTATTTAACCCAACCTAGTTAAATGTACACCGAAAATTGCACATGAGGTCCCAAACGGTGAAAAAAAAAACATAGGTCCCAAAAGGTGAAAAAATTAAAAACTTAGACCCCACTATTGTACTTAACTCAAACAAAACATTATAAAATCTAAGAGTTCTGATACACTCAAATGGGTAATTATATTTTATAATCTTACAAACAAAAAAAATGCACAAGTTTGATTGATTTTGGGCAAAGAAAACCATGTTCTCAATTCTCACAGCGTCAAACTTAATTTAGATGTTGAAGGAGAGTGAAAATTAGGAATTATGAGAACACTATAATTAATTTAGTGTTCTCAATTTGGTACATGAGCTTTCAAAATGGAGATAATTAAAATTAAATGGCAATTTATTTCATCTTATTTTTTAGCTCATTTTAAATTTTATATCAGAAAAGTTAATTCATACAGTGTATAAAATAACAATTTCGAATAATCTAATCTAAGTTCAAACAAAATATGGAAAGGTTTTGCATGAGACTGAACTCACCATAAGTCCAATACATCTGATATTAATAATATAATATCCGACAGTAATAATCTAATATCTGGCATTAATAATCTAATATATGACAACAATAATCTAACATAGCAATCTAATATCTGACAATAGTAATCTAATATGACATGGGTATTTTAAATTATTAATGTCATATATTAGGTTATTAATGTGAAATATATTGAACTCAACGTGAGTCACTCACCCATTTTTTTCACAAAATATTACTTCCCTTTTTTTATTTGACACGTTTATTTTATCAAGGGTATTAACTAGAGGTGATATAAAATCGAGTTTCAGCCTTTGAATGAAGTCCGGTGTCCAAACTCACAATATATTATCAAGCTTGCTAGGCGCCTAGGCCAAAAAGGGTTGGAATAGGATTTTGAAATGAAAGTATGATAAATATCAATTCTTTTATGTCAACTCTTAAATGACATGATGGGATTTTATAATTTTGGAAAAACTGCTCAGAATAATCCGACATTTGCCTCATCCGTAAAAAATAATCCCATCTTTCGATTATTTTCTAATTATCCATTTTTTATACCTAATCCGCTCAAAATGGTACCAACCGGTTATGTAAACAAAGAGTTAATTTTTTTAAGAAAAAAAAAATTAATGTTTTAAAAAACCATCACACCAGCTGCGCCAGCCGCCAGCCACCATCCTTGTCGCCTGAGTCCCCTATCCTGCATATCTTGCCACCAGACACCCAACCCTAATGCCGAAGTTGTTGCAGCGCCTCCCCTCCCCCCAAGGAAACCTAGTAGGTAGTGCTTTGAAAAAGCACAGACGACCATAAATCCATCCCCTAACCCTTGAAAACCCCTTCTCTCTCCTAATCCCAACTCCCATCCCCTTCCCTCATCCCTCTTTTGGCCACTTTCCCGTCCCCACACCTCGATTTCGGCTCCAATCCCCTTCCCATGCCCTTAATTTTAGTCCTTCTCCCCCCCCCACACCTTGACTTCAGTGATGCTGTAGTGGCAACGGACGGGGGTAGAGGAAGGAGGTTGACAAATGGCCAATTGACTGGGGGAGCTGGGGTTTGGTCACGTTAAGCTGGGCCAATGTAGGGGGGGGATGGTTGGGGTCGCTGTGAGGCTGGGTGTGATTTTAATTATTATTACTACTACTACTACTACTACTACTACTACTACTACTACTATATTATTATTATTTGATTAAAAAGTTAAAATAGTCAATTACTCTTAAATACTACTCACTCCGTCTCTTTATTACATGCCTGTATTCTTCTTTGGGGTGACCAAAATTAAGTGTGTGTTTTTATTTATAGGTTGTACTTTTCTACAATATTATTCTCTTTTTGATGATTTGTCATCCTTTTTTCCTTTTTTTTTTGTTCTTTAACATCAATCCCCAATACTTTCTCTCTCCTAATTCCCAATCACTTTTTCTTTCTCTCTATCTCTCTCTAACCTAACATGCATATTTATATTCCCAATTATTAGTATTAAGGAATCTTTAACTTTCTTAATTCCCGTGCAAAATGAGAAATCGGCATGTAATAAAGAGACGAAGGAAGTAATAATCATTTCTTAAAACAAAATTAAAATTCAAACATATTTTTTTAACCAATCACGTGGTCACACGTGTAAATTGAACTTAATGAAAAAAAATAATTACATACTCAACCGGTTACAAGTCATTCGAGACCATTTTAAGCGGATAGGGTATATAGGTCTGATTATTAAAAGGTAATCGAAACGTGGGATTATTTTGGGCGAATGAGGCAAATGCCGGATTCTTTCGAGCAATTTTTCTTATAATTTTGAAATAAACTCTTATGGTATGTAATTATGGATTAATCAAACATACTACGCATTATTAATCAAATATGTCATGTCTTGTTAGTACCTCATCAACATTTATCTATTTATTTACGAGGTAAAAAAAAAGGTGAAGGGCCTTACTGGATCGAAACCCCTAACAAATCGTCATTTATTGGAGTACGATATCGTGTGTAATAACTCCGTATTTTAATACCGTGCTACCGACCACATCATCCTTTAATCAAAGTCTAAACAAAACGGGCAGCAAGATTTGCAGAATATTTCAATCAAATTTCAAAAATGTTGACGTGTCTCACACGAACAATTCTCTAATTTTATTTCTTTTTTAATTTTCTCTCTCTTCGTCTTCCGTTTCGTATGTCTTTGCCCATTTGTTTTGTGTTTGAGGGCGGGAACTTCACACAACTTTGCCCCTAATTTAACCCCCTTTCTCTCTCCTCTAGGGTTTATTCAACTTCCAATTTCCCCCAATTTAACTTGCAATTCCACTGGAAAACTGTCGAATTCTAGGGTTTTTGATGTTTTGAGGAAATTGTGGAGTTAATTGTGAAGTATTTTGTTGAAATTTAAGGATTACAAATGAGTAGTATTCGAAAAGGCGCAAATGTCTGGGTTGAAGATAAGGATTTGGCTTGGATTCCAGCTGAAGTCATTGATTTTATTGGAAAGGATGTTCAAGTTCTTACTTCTTCTGGAAAGAAGGTGAATTACTTTTTGTCTTTGAATTTTCTGATTTTCTATAAAAGTTAAAGTTGATTTCTGGTATAATTTATGTATAAAAAGTTAATATAATTATGTTTTGTGGTGTGAATCGTGTGATCAATGATTATGTCAAAAGTGAAAATTAGTTGGAGAGCTGAAATTGACTTCTGGTGGTTGGTGATTTTAAGTTGAACTGGTTAATTTTGCGAATTGTGACGCATTTGGTGAGATATAGTTAGTGGTTTAGTCGTTAATTGAATTCGAAGAATATTGATTATGATGAATTTAGTGGACTACATTTCGAGTGCAATCAATGAAAAGTACAATGGACATTGTTGTTAAAACACAATAGGCAACAAACTTCGTATTATTGGAATCAGTTTTTCGACTTTATGCCTCGGACTAGTTAATGTGGGATAATGCAGTGTTTTAAATTTGTGCGGGAAAGAATATTGTGTAATGGGAAACTAATTATTCTGTCCTTTGATGCACGTATGTAGAATGCCAATCATGTTGATTGGCTCTTGTTGACTTATTTTATGGATCAATCAAATGAGTGGTGTGGCCTTAATATTTCGTAATGGTGTGAATCCTAAGATTAAAAAGTACGGTGTATGGTGTAAGGTTTGGATTTGATTTATCGATGGTATTGGTGCTACCTGCATGTGTTGTATGAAGCGAGGAGGTGCTCTTTTGGTTACCTACAAAGAATTAAGATTTTCAAGAGTTACTTAAGCAGTAAGTCATTGATGCAATCGAGATGAACCAACATGGTAGTTAAATTGCCATTTCAGTATTAGTACTAAGCCAGTAGGGATTTAATGCAATTGAAGTGCATCACACGTCTTCTTAACAGTGAGATAGTCTGCCATTTGTTGTCGTATTGTAAGCTGTCTATGAACTCATGGTACCAATGGAGTGGGTTTGTCCTGGTATCTTTGGAGTACTAATAGCCTTAATGTCAGTTCTAAAAATCTTGAATGGTGGAAAGTTACGTGGCAGTTTACTTTGGCTGTCATCTGGTAATATTGTTGAAGAGGAATGATATGGTTTGTTTTCTACCCAAATTTTCTATGTTAAGTGGTGTGTCTAAATATATTTCGGTCCCATGCTCATGCAGTTTTCCCGGAATGCCCTTGTTTGATGTGGAACTTAAGTTGCATATATTATAAATTTTTTGAATTGTTTATTTGTTTGTAGATCCTCCCTTTATGTAAGCGGTTCTATCATCAATGGCAAAGACAAATTGGCAAGTTTATATTATCAATAAGAAAAATCACAAGTGCCTTAAATAAGAAAGATTCCTAAGTGCTAACTGGAAATTTGAAAATTAATAAGTAGACTAACAATTTACTGTCTGTCTTTAATTACAAATCTTGATATATTTGTTTTTACACTTCTACCTTGGACATTTATCTGTAATTTCTCTCCAAGTTTTAGCGAGTTTGGTTTTGTTTGTCAGGTTCTATCTTCCCCAGAAAAGTTACTTTTAAGGGATCCAGATGCTGATCTTGGTGGAGTCGATGACATGACCAAATTGACGTACTTAAATGAGCCTGGAGTTCTATATAATCTAGAGAGAAGATATGCATTAGACACTATATATGTAAGTTAATTGCATTTCTTGGTCTTTTCTTATACTTCTGTAATGGTATCTGAAATAAATATTATCTGAATGACATACTCTTGTAGTTCCTATTATATACTCTTTTTCCCTTAAAAGATTACTTGTAATTAAGGAGGCATTAATTATTATGTCATCAGATTGTATTAAATTGTTTTATTTGCTTACTTTCACTCCTATTTCCTTCCATGAAATGTGACTAAAATAATAATATATTCAAGGGGGCAACTCATTAAATAAGGGCCATTTGGAGATTATATAAGATTGTAAATTCTTTTGCCATATTTACAAACCTTATCTATGTTCTTGAAGTATGTAGCATAATATTAATAATTTGATTGTGATGGGAGGTTTGAGGAGGCTGGATTTGGAATGATAAAATCAGTGGACATTTAAAAGGATATTATAGCTGTTTTGAAACCTGAAATGTCACAACATGGTGACCACAGCATACATAATTCGACGGATTGCTTGTGGGTCTATTTTAAGATCCTTTATATCAAATCCTCTATATATATATATATATATATAAAAAAAAAATCTGAAATGTTTCTGTTCTTATTGTGATTTATGTGCAACATTACAATATATGATTTTCTTCTTTATTAGTGAGGATAAAGAGACATGTATTGGGAGGGGGGTATGGGTTTATGGATAAATTCAGTATTTTTGGGATAACCTCCCATGCAATTTTGTCCTGTTGTTTACATGTTCTTTTTTTGTTTGTCTCAGACTTACACAGGAAGCATTTTGATTGCCGTGAATCCTTTCACTAAACTTCCACATCTTTATAATGTGCACATGATGGAACAATATAAAGGAGCGCCGTTTGGTGAGCTGGATCCCCATGTCTTTGCAGTGGCTGATGCAGCATATAGGTATCCTCTAATAAAACATAGATATTAGACATGCTCATTTGTGGAATTTTAACTATAAGAATTAGATGATTGGCGCTTGGATTGGCCCTCATAGACAGATTAACTTGTAAATTACTTCAGAGAATGATGTAATTGGATTTTGGAATGGCCTTCACGATGCAGAGCAATGATTAATGAGCATAGGAGCCAGTCTATATTGGTCAGTGGAGAAAGCGGGGCTGGGAAAACAGAGACGACAAAACTAATCATGCAGTATCTTGCTTATATGGGAGGCCGTGCTTCTAATGGTGAAAGATCAGTTGAGCAGCAAGTTCTAGAAGTATGTCTTCAACTAGTCTTCTTTTAATGTTATGAATTTCCATCTTTTAGGGTGTTAATTGTTAATATTTTCTGTATGATTCCTGTTTTGAAAGGAAATAAAAGCACTCACCCCTCTTGGCAGTAAATTTATGTTTATTTGATCCTCTGTTTCACTTAGGGAGGACTCTGAAAGTATGAAATATGAATTTGATGATGTTCATTTTTGTATTCGTGTAAAGTAGTTGAGATACTGGGACTTGTAGGAGCTCTTGTAGCTACTCCCACGCACTTCTAGCCATTAAGTCAGCTTTTCAAGTGGACTTCCTTCGATAGCTGGAGTTTTGCTTGATGTATTGCATGTCTCACTTAATATGTTCAAATTGCTAACTTATGTTTTTTTGGGTGTGTGTTTTTAGTCGAATCCACTCTTGGAGGCATTTGGTAATGCAAGGACTGTGAGAAATGATAACTCAAGGTCTGTGTGCACATTGTGCTTTGGTAACTTTTTTTGTTGTATATTTCTATTATATGTTGTGTCATATATGTGGTTTTCCTACAGTCTTTATTTATTTATTTTTTATTTAATTTATTTTTTATTTTTAATGTGAATTTAACTTAGTTTCCTTACCAATTATCTCTATATCCATGCATTGCACATCTTTAACTTTAATGGAACTTAATTGACGTCCTTAGATATTATCTGCCATTTTGGACTTTCCTGTATTAAATCGTGTTTATCTTTTTTTTTTTGAAACAAGTCAATTCATTAATAAAAAGCCATCCGACATCTACAAATGAAATCTACATTAACAAATACATAAAATTGAATCAAACTAGGGTTTCCTTCATCAAAGCTACGATCGTTGAAAAGATCTTGCACTGTGGTACATCTCTCGCACACATCGCTGGAATATACAACATTTTCGGAGAGACGGTCTAACGATTTGTTGTAGTCGTAAGGATGATTTTCATTTGATTCGCTTGAACGCATTTGAAAACTTGATAACCGTTGCTATTTCGAACAAATCTTTACCAACAAATTGACAATAGGGCAAAAGATGATTACCTTTTTGATAAACCCCAAACACACAAACAAACCCTAAACATAAATAAACAACTAAACTACCAAAAACTAACGAGAGATGGACGAATATCTTCACTACTAGGGTAGATTTATTGAGATCTAAATTGCAAAACTAAAGAAAATTAAGGGAAAAAAATTATACTATTTCCGGCCTAAGCGACCAAGATTTTAGAAAAACCCTAGAAGAGAGGAGGAGAGGAGAAAGAATAATTACTCGTAAACAGTGTTTATTTGAGTTGGAACTTATTCTCCCCAGTTTTTCATGCTAAGGTGAATAGTTAAAAGTTGGAATCTTTCCTTGCTATCATTAATTTTATATTTTTAGAAAGGATATTATGGTAATTATGTGAGCACCTTTATTACCTACTCCCTCTGTCCCTATCTTTTTGCCCCATTTGGCTTTTCACGGTCTCCAAAATACGTTTTAAAACATGTATACCTCCTTCTTTATATGCTTAAAAATTATTAAAACTTAATTTTAATAAAATATACAATGAGACAACTTCAACAAGACCCTATATTATCTCTTATAGAATAATGAGAATTTACGGTCGAAGTATATAAAGTTTGACCCAATAATTTGTAATAGGGAACAGAGGGAGCAATGATAGGGAGTTGCAAATTTAGTTAGTGATAATGAGCATTCCTTCAGTCCCTATTGTTTTGCCCCTGTTGTGTTTTTTTACATTAAAAAGTCTAAAAACTTTGATCACAAATACTCACTCACTAATCTATAAGAAATATTGTCAAGAGGGGTCTTGTTAGATTCGTTACAACGTCTTCTTTAAGAATATCAAATTTGTACAATTTTTACGCATATAAAATCAGAGATATTTATGTTTCAAGCATATCTTAGGGACCGCAAAAAATCAAATGCAGCAAATAGTTAGGGACAGAGGGAGTATTTAATCTTTTATGTGGATGATCCTGGTCAAGAATCTCTGTCTTCTAGGACATTGTATGCAACTTTCCACATATACTTGTTATTTGTTATCGTTCCTTCAATTTTCAACCTTGTACTAATTCGGCAGTTGGTGTAAATTGTTGAAGGGAGTAGGCTAAATGGGTTTGGCTATATATATGTGCATGAATGGGTCTATCCCTTTGCCGCAGAGATATTTATTGCAATTTTTGATAGTTGGTTGATGTTCAATATTTAATATTGATTTTGCATAGAAAACAAAAAAATTGGGTTTGTGCTTAAAACATTGATGGGTGTTTACTTAGCTGCTTGACCTTGGTAATGATTTTAAGCTATGACCTTAAATGGAAATTGGCATATAGAGTGTAAACCTGATTACCTGATGATTAGATTTTCACTATAGTAATTGGTAGGCGATTTTTGCTGTATTATACTTGGTATCCACGTATACATTAGTGAAAAAATAATTGATGGTATTTGGTTGAACTAGATGCTACTGAATGCCTACTAGCAATTGACATTTGACTGTAACTTGGCCTTTTCTTTAGCATCCTAAGATAGTAATATCTAAGAAATAGGAATTCTTAATGTTGGTTCTTTTTCCTGAAAAAATGGATTTGCGCCATCAGTGTAGCTTTATGCTGCTATAGGTTTTGATTACTGATCAAAATATGACTGAAGCCACATACTTGAATTCTCCCCCTTTGTTGATAGTGCTTTTCTAATCTTACCTGGAATTAGGGTTGTGTTATTCCTCATTACTTAAACAACTTTGTCAAGTTTTGGGAGCTTACTAAATCTTGGATTATTTGATTTTTATGCTTGTGGACAGGCCACCGTATTTTGGTAGTTACATGTGGTTTTTGTATTTATGGCTCTTCTAAGAATTGTTATTTGGACTTGATGCGTTGTACTTGAGCTAGCTGCTCACTCTGCAGATTCAATTTCAGGATTCAACTTTACTTCATTTAATCTTATATGAAATTGAATATTTATATATTTTTTTCTTTCATTTTGCTAGGTTTTTCATGTAAATACTAACAGACATCATGCTGATTGTAATTAATTTGTATCTTGGAATATGAGGCTTTGCGCATTGTTTTCTTGTATACTTAACCATCATTATGAATTTTTCAGTGAATGGAGGGTTTTTATGATTGGTCTTTCTTTGGAAGCAGTAAACTTTTGTTAGGTATATCATGGTTATGTAAGGGGTTGTTTTTGAATATGCCACTACACAGTAATTAATTGTGCAGCAGTGAAAATTTCTTACGTTTAACCTTAGTTGATTGGGTTATTAGAGACCTATTGTTGGCCGTGCCATGTGACAAAAACAAATCTGTTGAGAATTTAGTATTAGAACTTCTGGTCCTCTAAAAAGTAACAGTAATTTAGCGTTTTTTTCCTTTTTTTTTTTTTTTGGTGTGTGTGTGTGGGTTTTTTTTTTTTTCCTCTAACTGTGTTTCTATTTCCGGTTTTTTATCTTGTTTTACTTTATCTTACCGGAAGTTGGTTATTCTTCTCCATTGGTTTTTGCAGTCGTTTTGGCAAATTTGTTGAGATACAATTTGACGATAATGGTAGAATATCTGGTGCTGCAATTAGAACCTATCTTTTAGAGCGGTCTCGTGTTGTTCAAATTACAGATCCTGAAAGGAATTATCACTGCTTTTACCAACTTTGCGCATCTAGAGAGGTAATTTTGAGACTTTTCATTGACATTGATGACTGTGAAGGTCTATTAGCAATTGCTGAAGGTTTCTTGAATCTAGTAGGTTCGTCATTCTGTAATGTACTACCTTCTGAGTTGTGATTATGTTTGTCACATGCCTTGTGTTAATTCCCAATCATTTATTGTTGCTATAGAACCCTTCCTATGCCAATAAAGAGGAGGAAAAGTAAATAAACATAAATGGTGCTTTGGATGGCAAAAATAGCTAGATTATGTACAATTAATATTCTTATATATTTGTTTGTAATATACTTGTAGTTCTGTGAGCTTTCCATCTTTTCTACTTTTCTCTCCTTTCCCGGTTATCTTTTTTACTTATATACTTATTTCCTCCTTCCCTTGTTTGAATTGTTTGATACAAATGGTTGCCATATCATTTCTCATCTGAATGTTGTTTGTCCCATGCTTAGAATAATATTGGATTATTTTCCCCTTCTGTTATAATGCTTTGTTCTGATCAAGACTTGGCTTTTTATGTGGGAAAAAGTTGCTAATTTAAGGCCTTGATACCTCTTTCTTCTATTCTTCCTTGCAACTGCTATTTTAGCAAGGAGGAAGGTTATTTAAGTAGCTATTCTTCATCTCTTGGGTGTGTTGGGTAGACAAGAGGTCATGGTGTTACAGATGAGATAGCTAACATCTACGGTTTTCTGTACAGAGATGATGATTCCATGAGCTTTATGTTTGAGGGTCTAGTTGCTCTGTTCATTTGTCATTACTAGTGAATTGCTACTTGGTTTGTGGGAATACTTATAGGAGTAGTGAAGTGGAAGTGGTGATAAAGCATTACACTCCATTGTTTGTGATACCAATTTGTTGTACTTGCATGAAGGAGAAAGAACTGTATATGAAATAGAAGATTTTCTAAAATGGTTTGTTCAAGATTTTAAGTGCCAATATCCTGTTGTCTTAATGTAGCATGTATATTGTTATTGGATCAACAAGTCTATATTTATTGCTCTATTCATCTGAGTGGGGGTGAAAAATGTTGCGGTGATCTTTTTTGTGACAAGTTGTTGATTTCTTTACTACTCTGCTTTCATCTACTCCTGTTGCTCTTTCTCCACTGTTAAATTTGTTAATGACTTGCTGAATGGACAACAAATTTAGGGACTGGAGTTCTAGCCATGAATGCTGACTTTAAAAAAGGAAAAAAGTTGGATAGTGATTGCACTACATACTGTATCAAGAACATTCCAGAAAAATCCTGAAGCAAAGAGCTTTGGAGAAGCAAAAAATTGAGTCAGTATGATTGGGATTAAATGTATGCCTGCCTATATTTGTCAAGATGACAGGATGGAGCTTATTTCCTTCTATGACCAAGTTAAAACCTTATGGAGCTAGTGCTCATAGCTTCTCCATACTTTAGTAGCTGTTTAATGTGTTAGTGCCAAGTGTAGTAGGATGCTGCATGAGATACTTTTTCGAGTTTGCTGTCTTTGGTTGGTAGAACTAGAATCCTTCAAATTCACAAGCCTTTTAGATCATTCATCTGGTGTGGGTTGCTTGTGGTTGGTCTGTTGTTCACCAATAAGCCTTGTTATCTATGTCTAAATGAGTGATCATTTAAGTGATACGACCTATGTATGCTGTCTTTTGTTTTAGCTCACATATATTGATTGAACGTAATTGTTCATTAAGGATTGAGGAAGACATTTGATTCCCTTAATATCACTATGACATTGCATTTTTATGTGCCTCAAGTCGATTCTATGTGGGTGAATTCTTTTTCCTTCTTTAGTTGAAGCATTTAATGTTATCTGTAAGCAGGATTCTGAAAAGTACAAGCTGGAAGATCCAAGGCAATTTCACTATTTAAATCAAAGTAAAATATATGAGCTAGAGGGGGTTAGCAATAGAGTTGAATACATGAAAACGCGAAGGGCAATGACCATTGTTGGTATAAGCGAGGATGAACAGGTTATGATGGTTTTGTTTTGCTTGCAATCTTTGCATTATTTGCTCTTCAGTTTGCTTGATAAACTGTTATTTGAACAGGAAGCAATATTTCGTGCATTGGCTGCTATTCTGCATTTGGGTAATGTAGAATTTTCTCCTGGAAAAGAGCACGACTCTTCAATAATAAAGGACCAGACATCTAGCTTGCATCTTCAGATGGCTGCTGACCTCTTTCAGTAAGTTCTTTTTGCCGAGCTATGTGTGAGTACATCTCTTAAAACAAGTATAAGATCTATTACTTGTACATGAACATTCAGCTTTGAAAAGTTCCTTTAGTTTTAAAGAATGGAGTCGGTCTTTATGACTTTGTTTGTTTGGACGGAAAATATTTGCAACTGAAAGCAATTTTCAAAGAAAAACGTATTCTAAAAGATTGTGTAATTGAAGATTGTTTTTCCTTTGTTTGGTTGTACAGCCATTTCAATTCCATCTCGTTGAGTCGCTAAGCAAGATGCAGCAATCTTGACAAAAAAGTGGCATTCCTCCTAATTGGTTTCCTTTTTTTCATCTGGTTTAAACCAAAAAAGGAAAGTTGGAAAAGAGTGGAAAACACTTTCCTCCAAATGCCGCCTAAATAGAAAAGATGTTAGAATCTTTTATAACTACATATCAAGTGACAAAAAATATGAACCTTTTGTGCAAGCCAGATGAACCTGAAAACTGAGATTCTGTTAAAAAAAATTATTATTGCATCTGCAGTTAGTTTTCAAAAATTAAGCCTGCTGTAAAAAAGACCCTTAGTTAAAAAAGATGAACTTTATGTACCAACTTTATGTACCCATCTTAAAAAATAGGTTTCCTATCTTGTTTTGATTGCAGTGCAATGTTTTTCAGTTGATTCTAATGAATAGCAATGGCTCTTACAGGTGTGATGTTAATCTTTTGCTGGCATCACTTTGTACACGATCGATTCAAACTCGTGAGGGAGCCATTATCAAAGCCTTGGATTGTAATGCTGCTTTGGCTAGTCGTGATGCTTTGGCTAAGACTGTTTATTCTCGTCTGTTTGATTGGTATGCTTTCCATTTTGAAGTAGTGGAAAGATGTGATTGGGGAATTGGAGATTGAAACTTATGTTTTGTGGGACTTGTTCAGGCTTGTTGAGAAGATTAATAGTTCTATTGGGCAAGATTCGAGTTCTCGTATACAAATTGGACTCTTGGATATTTATGGCTTCGAATGTTTTAAGCATAACAGGTAGCTGATTTTGTTTTAATATTTCACAACTTATATAGCAGAGGTTATTATCTTTCCTAGATGTGCTGTCTTACTTTTTAGTTTTTGTTTTATTGCCTGAAGGCATGTATGATTGGTGGGAGAGTAATCTTCTGTTGTGTATTTTAGATGAAGACAGTTTCTATTTTGATCCACAAATACCCATGTACATGTACCATCAATTTCACGACATACTATCGCCATTAAAACCTTAGATTGTAGCACTTGGACTTAAAAAGCTCATAAATTTTGGAAAAAACAAGGCTAATTATATGTAATACTCAGTACTTTTGTGTGAGCTACACTTCACTATGTGATTTTAAGAAGGGAGATGAAGATCAACAATGAATATATCAATCAATCATGCATTGATTTTGTAAAGAAATTAAGGTACGATTTACTATTATTGCAGAATGTAGGGAACACATTACCTTATTGATTACTTCGTATTTATGATATAATTCAACAAAAATGAAAATTTGCACTTCCAGCACCTAGTTTACATTTTAACATGTTTTAAGGCTTTTATAAGATGAGAATGTAAGCATGTCCTTTCAGGGCTGAAATCAGGACTGCCAACCTTCCCCCCAACCCCATGGGTGACAAAGCCGTGAG